AATTTTTTAATTATTTTTATTTTTTTATCTATATATTCTGAGATTATTTTGCATTGATTTAGATTTTGTTTGACTATAATTTAAAAGGTAGTTTGTTGATAAAAAAAGAATTATTTTACTAAAAAAGAATTTAGTTCATTTGGCAATATATTTTTCATTAAAAAAAAAAACTACATTAACCTTAGAAAATCGTTAGTAAAACCCAGAAAAAATATCAAACAAACTTTTTTTTAATAGAATTATTAAAAAGCTAATTTTTTTAAGGAAAAATTACAAATCAAATGTATTTTTTAAAAATAATTACATATATATGAAAAAATTAAACTTTAAAAAATTTACCATTAATCTGGAAAAAAAAAATTCAACCTAGATTTTTATTTTCCCATCTTTTAACCAATAAACAAACTTTTTGACTTGTTTTAAAAAGTTGATTAAAAACTTACTTTTTAATTTTTTTAAAAATATATATATATAAAGAAATAAAAAAAATTAATATAACTTAAAATAAATTAAAAATTAAAATTTAACTTTTAATCAAATACTCAAAACAGTCATTAGCTTAAAGCTAGCAAAAGAGCCAAAGTCAAAAAACTTGTAAAGCGTTAATCATTTAGCCATTGATTTCTAAGAGACGTGTAAAACATTAATCATTTCGGCCGCTGATTTGGATCCACCGTGTGGGGGTGATCACTCAACTCAATTCACACTATCCAAAAAATAAAATTAAAAAACTCAAATCAATATTTTTTTAAAAAAATAATTAATGTTTCATGTGATTACAAATTGAAAAAATTTACAGTAATATTATATAGAATAATGTGACAGATTGTGAAATTTTTATTTGAAAATAATGTCTATTATTTTGATTATAATTTACAAGGATGATGCTATCACACCATTTTTGTAATAAATTATGTAGGAAAAAATTCTAGTAGTTTAGCATTTTTCAAATGTTTTTTTAAGAATAGATATAAAATTAGTTTATTTAATAAAAATAAAGATTATAAAAAATTTAATGCTAAAAAGTTTTATTTGTTTGTCGGAAAGCTTTTGTGCTCCTCCTAAGGAAGTATTGTGCCCGTTATTGTAGGTAAATGGGCCTCTACGATAAATATTCGAGGGGATGAGATGACCTTAATTTTATTGGGACAGCAAATAACATTGCTTGGAATGAGTTTTTATTTGTTTTTATTTTTTATTTTTTATTTTTTATAATTCTCCTAAGGCGGATATCAAGGCCCTAAAGAATTTGCTAAAATTTGTAGACAATTATCATCATGCGTCTTTTAAGTGGGGAGATGACAAGAATTCTCACTTTCTCTTCACTGTAACCCGTGTGAGCCTGTCTTACAAGAATTACTCACTTATTTTGGTCAATGCAATGAGATTTGTGAAACTAATCATACATTTACACTTGCGCCTATAAATATAGGCCGACTACTTAAGACCGTAATATAAGTAACTCAATACTTTATATGAGAGAAATGAAAGTAGGATTCATTCGAATCCTCCCACATGTTCCGTATTTTTTTAACGGTTTCTAGATATCTTTATCATTAATGCAACATTCATTTTGCTCATTTATGGAGTTATATTTAGTACCTCTAAGACATTTTGAAGATTTTTTAAAGTGCTAAAGTGGGCTTTTTAGCATGAGTGAATTAGTCAAATAAGTATATTTTTTTTTATTAAAAAACCAAAATAATCTTTTTTTTAGTTAATATAAATTCACTTTTAAGCTACAATCAAATGATGTCTTAGATGCTCAACAAATTTTGTAAGAAAACTCTAAACGGTTTGAAACATAAGAATCAGACAAAAAGTCGTGTAAAAAATAACATAAAACAGGATTCTTGGGCTGGTTTGGGGTGTTCTAAAAAAGTGCACTTTTTGTCTTTTTGGACTAAAAAAGTTGAGAAAAAAATATGGAAGTTTGGGTTAACTTTTTAGCTTTTTATGAAAAAATGTGTATTAAAATATTGTATAAAAAAAGTGTGTAAGAGATGATTAGTGAGAGGTGGCCCCAGCCGTACAACCGGCTGGAGTGAATTGGCTATGGAAATTATTGCCTAATTTTTGTACAAAGCATTGGACGGTTTTATTTGGCCTGTGGGGTCATCACAGGTCCCATTTTAATAATCTGAACCGTTCAATGTGTGTAATTCGTCGAACACCATCTACCTATAAAAAATCACGTTAATCGGATATCGATAGCTATCTGATCAGACTTATTTATTTTTCAATCATTAATTATAACACCATCCATTTGTTGTATATAACTGATTTGATCATATAGTTATCGATATCCAATCAATGTGATTTTTTGCAGACATATAGTACTCGACGAGTTCTACACATTTAACGGTTCAGATTATCAAAACGGAATTTGTGATAGGCCCCACAGGCCGAACAGCGGTGTGTGTGCAAATCACACCCAATCCTTTCATTTAGGTGCACTGTCGCTGCACAGCAACTGGCTTGTTGTCAATTCGGTGTGTACTTGGGCAGAAAAAAATTATTATTTTTTTTTTTTTGGGTGAATAGTGATATCTTTTTAAATTTTGGAGTAACTTTTTGACTTTTTGACTTATATAGTATAAGTCAAACCAGGCCTTAACTCAAGTTTTATCAAAATTCATATGGGAGACTCTAAACACAATTACAACACTCATATAAAATAGTAAAAAAAAATTTATCAAGAATACTCAATTAGAATAATATGATAGTAATATTTTTTGAATAATAAGGTATCTTGATGATATTTTGGTTTGAAATGCCAACACTTCAATATATCACATTATTATGTATAAATTTTATATTTACTTTTTTATGCTTGTTACTTTGTATGTCATTATTGAAAAATACACAAAAACAAAAACAAAATGGCAATCTATTTTTTAATAGTCATATAAAAAGGTTAAATAATGAAAAAATAGTAATCTATATGTAGTCGATGCTTGTTCGTTAAGAACAATACTCTCATATTTTTGCTATTTTATGTGACTAGATCAGGTAATTGTGCTTAATTAGCTTATTCATTGGAGACAGAAAAAAAAATGTTATTTATCAAGAATTTTTATTGTGAAATTTATTTTTAAAATATATGTGTGATATAAATTTAAAATTAATGAGATGTGAGTCACACCCAGAATAAGTCTATTAATTTACTTTTTTTAGATAGTCAATTTCTTACAATTTAATTGTAAGTCATACTATTACACTTTCATCCACGTATCGTTAATGAAATTAACGCAAATCAAAAGTAAAAAGATTAAAGTGAGATTTTAGTGAAAATGTAAGAACTAAAATAAAATTTTGATAAAAGTGTGAAGAAACTAATAAAATGAAAAAATGTCAAGTTTAACTCATGTGATAATTTTCGTTAGCTTGTTAACTATAGATTGACAAAAAGCAAAGATGGAACCAAGATTTCATCATCGGAAGATTCAAAAATATGATATATAAACTATACATACACACATATAAAATTTCAAATATTATAGAAGTAATCTCTAATAGAATAAACAAATTTTTTAAATAGAAAATAAAAAAAGAATGTAAGATGATAGAAGAATATGATACGTATCTTTTATACCAAAGGGTTATTTTATTTATAAAATAAAATATATATTTTAAAAGTATTAATGGTAAATAGAATTTTTCACAAAAATAATAGGTCATGGTCCTTCGTAGTCTTCTCTTAGTCGACATTATAAATTTATAATAACATAATTTTGTTAACAAATACCTTAGCGACATAAGAAAAAATAAAATAAATGTAAAATTCAATAAACTTTTCATCAATTTGATAACACTTTTTACTCATTTTAAATTTTTTACCATATTTCAAAATATTTTTTACACTAACTCCAACATTGACATTTGCCAAAGTAACGAATTACACATGAAAATACAGAGGAGACTGTTTGGGGAAAGCTAATATAGCCCCCAAAAAAAAATTAAAAAAAAAATTATTATCATAAATTTAACTATTCTTTATACTTGTTGGTTAGTGTTCTAGAAAAAAAATTAATTAAAATAACGTTGGGTAAACAATTATGATAGAGAGTTGTAATTTTAAAGACGTTACAGTAATTTCAGTTACTTCACACCAGAACAAAATTCAGACGTTGACGCACCAGCAACTCCATCGCATCGCCGATCTGCGTTCATGCTCTCTCTCTCTCTCTCTCTCCATTTTTGGATTCTAAAAATTACACAGAGAGAGCTATCACAAGGGTTAAGCTTTGGCCGATTCTACTGTTCCATCTAGTCTCTGTTTGTTTTAAGCACAATTCACTTTATTCGACGCGTAAAGTTTGACTACCTTTCTGGTGAGCTTCAAGTTCACACAACCCACTAAATTTTCTAGTTTCAAATTCTGGGTTTACTTTTAACATCAAGATTTACACACTATTTTGAATTTCTGTGTGTATATAATTCGATTTGGAGGAGCATTTCTACCAAAAATTTCCCATAAGTTTCTTCAATTTTTAAGATTTACGCACTACTTGGAATTCGATTTGGATGGTTTGCAAAAAAAAATTCTGATATTGTCCTTCAAATTTTCCGTTAAAATTGTTTTAAATGCGTAAAATCACAGTTCTCTCTTTTGTTTTCTATCTAAACTTTTTCTAGGAAATTTAACGGTTACATTCTGATTCATTTGGATTTTTCCAATTGACAGGTTGGAATTTGTAGAGCAGAAGCTTCTGACCATTCAATCTAAACCCTATCTGAACTCTGAGTTCATTACCATCCTTTGAAAACGACAGAGAAGGTAAACTCTCCCTTAATTTCACATTTTTTCTGTAAAACAAGATAAGTACATGTGTGTGTGTGTGTGTATGCATATGTTTGGGACCACCATGTCTGCAAAATTTCAAGCTTTCACCAGCCCATTAGAAATTGAGGGAATTGCTGGCCAGTGGTAACAGAAAAAAGTATTTATAAATCAGAGGTAAAGTCTATACACTTTAATAATTAAAATGCCATACTGTTTCATGATTTTTAGCCGACGTCATTTGATGGGACTTAAGGCTTGGTTGGGTTTGGTTTGGGTTTACTGTTTCATGATTTTGTAATTTTTTTACTGTACCACTGTACAGTTATTTCACCTTAGAAATTCTGTAAAGCATTGTTACTTCGTCTGCAAGCATAGATGGTCCCCGGAAAGTTTTCTGTTCTGCTCTGAACCTTCAAATGGAGCTTCTAGGGTTGTTGCCAAATATTAAGCAAAGAAAGATAGCTTTGTCTCAACTACCTGTGATTAGCACTTTTAGGTTAGTTTGTTGGTTGTTTAGTTTATCCATTATTGTTATTATTATTATTATTATTATTATTATTATTATTGTGTGCAGATAATGTGATTATGGGAAGTTCAGATTTGTTTATTAAGGCTAGCCCAACAACATTGTGTTAACATCTTAACTGTCTTGCATGATTGGAAAGCAGGCAATAGAGTGAGTGAAATGGTGCTAATTATTTGAATAATGGGTTATTAAGTTTTTGGATTAATGGAGGTGGGTTTGTGAAAAAAAAGAGGGAGGGTGAGAAATGGGGGCAATTGGTGGGGAAGAGTTGACCAAGTGGGAGGAGATGCAAGGAGTGGCGAGTGATGGCAGTGAGGAGAAGATTCTTGTATTGGTTAGATTGAGGCCTTTGAGTGAGAAGGAGATTGCGAGGAATGAAGTCTCAGATTGGGAATGCATCAACGAGACTACCATTTTGTTCCGGAACAGCCTTCAAGAGCGGTCCATGTTTCCAACTGCTCATACATTTGGTAAGGAAATGGCCATCTACCTATTTAATTTGTTCTCATTCTGGATTCAAATATTTCTTTGCATTCATGGTGTTTGGGTTTGATCTAGAGCATATCGGGTCATCAAGTATAAAACAAAATTCACTCTACCTGTTAGAAAATATTTAGTGACTTGGGTTAGGACATTTAGGTACTATATGACGGCTCGTGTATTCATAATTTAGTTACAACTTTTGGAAATAGATGTTTCTGATATAATTTGAGAATTGCACAGGATTTCTATTTGAAGATGTACATTTTTTTTCTCCTTATTTTGATTTAACCTTCTTTTATTGTTGTTTTATGTTGGATAGATGGCGTATTTAGTGGTGACTGCTCAACTAGGCAGGTTTATGAGCAAGGAACGAAGGAAATTGCTCTTTCAGTGGTCAGTGGTATTAACTGTAAGTATAATTTCATGTTCTGGTTTCTTCTTGTCATAATCTTACTGATTGTTTGAATGAAGTGAAAGTCTTTCACCTCGACAATTTTTCCTTTCAGCAAGTATTTTTGCATATGGGCAAACAAGCAGTGGAAAGACATATACCATGATTGGAATAACAGAGTACACAGTAGCAGACATTTATGACTATATACATAGGGTAACAAATAAAATGTTTATTTGGTGTCGTTTTCTATTTCATTTTTATATTCCATTATGTTCTTTGTTTTTAAACATATATAACTGTAATATTCTTTCTTTTTCCCCCCTCTACGATCTCCAGCATGAAGATAGAGCATTTGTTTTGAAGTTTTCTGCTATGGAGATCTACAATGAAGCTGTAAGAGATCTCCTTAGCACGGATAGTCTTCCACTCAGGGTCCTAGATGATCCAGAGGTAAATGTCTATTTATTTATTTATTTTCAGTTTCATCCGCTGAATATATACTTATATATAGATATAAATCTTTTATGATTTGTCATTCCTTTAGAAAGGGACTGTTGTGGAGAAACTTACAGAGGAAACTCTAAGGGATTGGAGCCATCTCAAGGGTCTTCTATCAATTTGTGAAGGTAAAAGGCATCCCATGATAGTAATAGCGGTAATAGGTATTATGAAATAGTGCCTTGTCTTTATGTATAAAATTGCATTCTTGCAGCTCAAAGAAAGATAGGGGAGACTACCTTGAATGAGACAAGCTCTAGATCTCATCAAATTCTTAGATTGGTGTGCTGCTCCTTCCCATCCCCTTTCTGTTCAGTGCAGTTATTAGCTAAGATTTTTTTGAAGTGCTTTAGAATATTTTACTTACCCCTTATGGATTTAATATCTGCAGACAATTGAAAGTTCTTCCCGTGAGTGTTTAGGCAAGGACAATTCGACAACACTTGCAGCTAGTGTGGTATAGATCAATTAACTTCCTTTTGGATCACTCTTTATTGAACATAAATTTGCCTAATCAATATATTTGGATTGTTTGTGTCCTCCAAATAAATTTTAGAATTTTTTTGGCAAATGGTCAGTAGCGGTAAGTAAATTTGGTTTTTGTTGCTGCAGAATTTTGTCGATCTGGCAGGAAGTGAGCGTGCATCTCAGGCATTATCAGTTGGGGCTAGGCTGAAAGAAGGCTGCCACATCAACCGTAGTTTACTGACTCTAGGAACTGTTATTCGCAAGCTAAGGTTTATTAATCGTCCCATTCTTGACATGTTAACTCTTTTGACTTCCAATTGGCACTTGAAAAATATAGATATATCATTGCTAGAGGTTGTCATTAGCTGTCAGCAAGACTAGATTGTATGTAGAGAACCAAGTAAAATCGCTGTTATTGTTGGATGCAGCAATGGAAGACATGGGCACGTCAATTACAGAGACTCTAAGCTAACACGCATACTGCAATCCTGTTTGGGAGGCAATGCTAGAACTGCCATCATTTGCACTTTGAGCCCTGCACGAAGCCATGTTGAGCAATCTAGAAATACTCTCTTGTTTGCCACTTGTGCAAAAGAAGTGACTACAAATGCAAAGGTTAACGTAGTCATGTCTGATAAGGCCTTGGTGAAGCAATTGCAAAGAGAGGTGGCTCGATTGGAGAGTGAGTTAAGAACTCCTGCCCCTTCTTCCACTTGTGATCATGCGGCATTACTGAGAAAGAAAGATCTCCAGATTGAAAAGGTTATGACTGTCCTAACTCATTTCTCAATATAAGCATGTTAAAGTGTTAAACATTTTTATTTGCCCAAAATCAGGGGTATCAAGGAAAAGGAAAGGGAAATGTGACAAAAATTTAGCTTCTATTTATTCACTTTTCCGTTTCAAGCAATGACATATAAAAATAATAAAGGACTCATAAAAGCTTTGGAAATGGTGAGCAATGGGGGTTGAATCTGAAATACCAAGGAAATTGTAAAAACTGTAAAGGGAAATGAGTGGATAAATGGCACCAAAACATGTTAGAGAATAGGTTGTTCCATTTGAGATCCAAAGGCATGTCCTCTCACTATTCCTTGTGCATCTCCACATCTAGGGGGAACACGTTTGGAGCCTCTCAAGAAGCTCCAGTTTTTTAACAAAGCGACTTTCTTGGTGCCTGTCATTAAACAATGATACTTAGTGGTGTCGTGCAAATATTTTTTGCCTCTCATAAATCCAAGACAGAAATGCTGTAACCAAATGCATCCACCTCATAGGCCCTGATTAACTTAATGAAGCTTGACAAGTGTGAATCAAGTTGTTGGAATGGAGTAGTGAAATTTCCTTTTAGATAATAAGGAATAAATGACAAATATTTTGGCACTACTTGTGCTGCCTAGGCCTAATAAGCTTCTCACACTCCACTCTTTTTTCAAATGTTCAAATGACAAGATTGCTTCTATTTTCAGTCGAATCCCAGACATGCCTGTCACTCTTCCACCATCATCCATTGCCCTTCAAACCATGATGGGATTTTGTATCACTGAACTGTGCTTTGTTCTCCGTTTGGTTATTAAGATGGAGAGGGTTAACTTGCAATTAGATGGGCAATCTTGTTACCTGAATTTATTTTAAACCCGACAATGGAGCGTGAGGAGCTTATGTGGAGCAGGAATAGCACTTCACTGTAAGAAAATGTCATAAATCATACCAATAATAGTTGGGGACTTTCACAATGTGAGGGTAACTTGGGATGGACATATCTTTGGCCTAGGCCTGTCTCATTTGCTTGTCCTTCAACTGTAAAGGTGTGGAATCACAAATACATTTTAATGTGATGATTAGAGTCACCCATGTATTTAGCTGTAATTCTGAGATTGACTTCATGTGTTTATACAAAGACTTGGCATATAAAGGCCCATTTATACGAAAGTTACTTGTTGCGTTTACAATGTGTCCCTGGTTTTTCTATAACACAGTTGGAGAAAGAGGTGAGGGAGCTAACTAAGCAACGAGATCTTGCTGAATCTCGGTATGAGGATTTGCTGCTCATGGTTGGAAATGATCAAGCTTCAGGGAATGATGAAGATGATTCTGTGTCCATGGGTGCTTCTTCGCTGCTGTCAGATAGAGGTAAGTTTGTAAGATCCAGTGCGTGTCAAGGCCGTGAGGTATTTGCACTGGGAAGTGGAGAAGATCCTGATGACATCTGCAAGGAAGTTCGATGTATTGAGATGGATGAATCCAACAAGGACAAGATCTCTGAAACCCTTGCCTTATCAACTGATGATGCTGAAGGAATGTTGGCATTGACGCCCGTGCCCATATGTAGCAATGTGGAAGATGAGGAAACGGAATCCACCCCACCTAGAGAAGTAAGCCACATTCAAAATAATTTGACTTATGGGACATTGGAGCAGAGAATCCGCAATGTACAAAAGACCATTGATTCTCGAGTCAGCCCATACCCTGATGACCCGTCTCCTTGGTCTCAGGCTGCAGGTATTTCAAGTTCTAGAAGTCGGAAGTTAAGTAGGAGCTGGAGTTGTAGAGCTAATCTCATGGCTGGCTCGTCATCACCATACTTCAACATGGCACGAGAAAGTCATAATACACCACCCAATGGTTTTGAGACAAGCTTTCCTGGAAGACCAGGAGGATTCCAAAGGATGCTTCCTCAATTAAATTATGATGCTCCAAGGTTGTCGAGAAATGATTCTCAGTCTTCGATTGGAAGTGCTTTTATAGATGAGCTAAAAGCTCAGAAGAACATGAATTCCACAGATGAGGAAATTCCTAGCATTGATAATTTTGTCGCAGGACTGAAAGAAATGGCCAAGGTTGAATATGAAAAGCAACTTGCTGATTGTCAGGTTAGAATGCGCCCACTTTTCTTTGCTTCAATATCCTCCTGTGAAATATTGTCATTTTTTGTGGTCACTGTCTATAGCTTTCTGAGAATTTGGTTCCGATCAATGAGTGGGCATTTGGCTTACCTTATACACCAATTCTGCTATGAAACTTTATGTATTGATTGGTGCAAACCATCAATGTTTGTTTTTGTGAGAATATTCATCCAATTATTGTATGCCGCGATTTATAAAACATCAATAACCTTTTGCCTATCATTACTTAGGAGTAGTTATTTATTATTATTGTATTATCATTTTTTGGGGGTTCAGGTGCAAGGAAAGGAATTTAAGGTTGTGTTGGGATCTAGGATTTGATGAGGGTTTTGTGGAAGGAAAGGAAAAGGAAAGGGAAATGTGACAAAAATTTAGCTTCTATTTATTCACTTTTCCGTTTCTATTTTCTTTTCCCCACAAATTCATCCTCAAATCTTTGATCCAAACGCAGCCTAAGGGTTTATTACGTATTGACATGTCATGTAGCAAATGGAAAGCAAATTGTGTGCTATCATTTTCATTTACTCATTTAGTGTGGCATGTTTACCTAGGCTAGCATACATGTAAATATTTCTACTAGCTTGACCCATGTCATTAGATGACTATAATGCATGTGTAATTCAGTAACTTTGAAATGGTCGGCGTTTTTTGAAGCTTGTGCTCCATTTGATATGGTTTCCTATGTGCATGCTAGGTTCAGGGGATGGAACCGAAGGCTGAAAAGTCTGGAAAGAATGTCAAGGATGTTGGATTAGATCCGATGCAGGACACACCAGAAAGTCCTGCAAGTTGGCCTCTTGAATTTGAGAGGCGGCAAAAAGAAATTCTTCAACTTTGGCAATCTTGCAATATTTCATTGGTCCATAGAACATACTTTTTTCTGCTGTTCAAAGGTGACCCAACAGATTCTATTTACATGGAGGTGGAGCTTAGGAGACTTTCTTTCCTCAAGGAAGCATTGTCTCGGGGTAATCATGTAGGGGAAGATGGTCAGACTCTCACATTGGCATCAAGGTCCACCCTCTCTCTATATCTTGAATGCATGCATGTTAATGAAATCATTTGATTTTCTAGCATCCACATTATTTTTCTTTCAGGCTCCGTTTATTTAGAAAGAAACAGATGATAGAAAGTGAAATGAAAGAAGGGAAAAAGAAATAAAAATTTATTTTCTTGCATGCATTTGAATAGATGGAAAATCTTGCAAGAAAATGATGAAAAAATGTAATCACTACATAACAAGGAGTTATGGAGAGAAACATGGGCAAAGAGGGAAACAAAATAAACATTGTCAAGGAAATGCTCAATCCATTACATGTTTCGAGTCTCGGTTTTTGGGTGTTTTGTACAGCTAGGTGTCGAGAAGGGTGAATCCAGATTTATTTGTTATCTTAGATTTTATTGATGATTTAGTTTGTTAGGTCCCCGTTTTGCGGGATTCGTTTTGTATTCTTTTAGCATCTTCTTGATGCTGTGGTAATAAAATTTATTTATCAAAAAAAAAAAAACATTGTCAAGTTCTATGAGAAAAATAAATTTCCCTATATATTTTACAAGAAATCATAAGCATAACTAACAAGTTAATTTGAGTTGTTCAGGAAACTTTAAATTCATTACTTTTGAGGACTCTCTATCTAAACAAACAAATAAAAAATTAATTTTTTTCTTTTTCTTTCACTTGCCTATATTCTCTATCTAACCAAGGTCTTCTTTGGATTCTTTCAAAGATGGCCACCCGCTTTCCCAACTTCCTCTTGTGCAACATTGATATTGTTTTTTGCCTTGCATTTATTTATGCTCCATTTGTTTCCGCAGAAAACATTTTCCTCATTTTAGCATTTGGTATGACGGAAAACAAAAATCAATAGAAAATATTTTTCATGATCAATGGAAAACAAGCCTTTTTGGGTAGAAAATATTTTCCACTTTTGGAAGGCATAAATTGTTTTCCAATCATATGTCTTATCAATTCCACCGCACTATCACCACCACCACCGTCACCACCACTACCGCAACTCCACCCCCACCTTCACCACCACTGCCATGACCACCAGCACAAAAACCACTACTAATACAGTCACTTGCACATTTGCAACCAAACATAAGAAAACATTTTCTACAAAAATAATTTCGTAGAAAATGTTTTCCATTGAAACAAACGGAGCATTTGTGTGTCAGCATCTTACTAAAACATGTTTTGTATGGAACATTACTAAAACATGTTATGTATGGAGTGACAGCTTGAAGGCCCTTCGCCGCGAGAGAGAGATGTTAAGGAGGCTCATGTACAAGAGGTACTCAGCAGGGGAGAGAAATAGACTATACCAGAAGTGGGGCATCAGTTTGGGGTCAAAGCGGAGGAGGCTACAACTGGTCAACTGCTTGTGGAGCAACGCAAGTGATATAAACCATACTACGGAGAGTGCTATGATTGTTGGAAAGCTGATCATGTTCTCTGAGCAAGGAGAGGCTCTCAAGGAGATGTTTGGGCTTAGCTTCACACGTCCATGCACAAGCAGAAGATCCTTTGGCTGGAAAAACAGCATGGTTTCTCTTTTGTAAGTTTGTTTTATGATCAGATGCATATAAGATTAGAGGCTACTAACTAGTTTGTATTGACTATTTGATATTCATTTGTGATTGAAATTGACAAAGATTGTCCACAATGGTGATGGATTTGTGAACATTTTGTAAGTTTCCTCAGGTTAGAAATGAGCTTGTTCTCTGAAAATTTGTTGGTTTTATGTGCATCTTCAGTCACATATATTTCATGTGTATAAAGGCTATTACCTGATGTTGGTTCTGTTAAGGCACCAATTATCCCAACAATAGATATCAAAGCTATCCAATACTTTTCTTCGCATGGAACTCCAACCAATCAAAGGGAATCTAAATACAACAGAGAGATTTGAATTCAAGACATTTCTTAATTTGAGTTCTTAGTTATGTCAAAAGTCTATATCAAGCCACCCAACAAGTTCTCCCAATGCGTATTTCTGTAAAAAGGCTATTATTCGCCATTTTGCTAATTTAATTGAGAAAGTGAGATTCTTCCATAGAACCAAAGGCCCCCGACATAATTCCCAAACTATGCGACGTTTGGTAAAATTGTTTGTCTTCAATATGCAAATATTATTGTATGCTCTTGTGCAATGCCCCAACAACTGGACTCCCACAATCGTTGTGGTATTGTGTGTTTTATGACATTGCCTTAGGAACTCTAAAACTTATGAGGATATATTATGTCTCAAAAAGAGAGAAAAATTCAAATGAAAAAAAGATAATAAAGATTTGAAAATTAAAAGAAGTTTTTTTTTTTTTCGAACATGGGAAACATTATATTAATAAAACAATAACAATACATAAACAAGATTCCAAATGATCATCTCAACCAAACAAAAAATAATAATAATAAAAAATAAATCCATCAAAAAAACAGTTACGATTCAGGAAAAATTACTAATCTACTCAAAAATGTGGTTTGGAAAGTAAGGTCTCTTTGAAAGTCTATTGTCTCCGTTGATGTTGTCCCTGTCGTTGTTGCCCAACTTCGCCGCCGCCGTCGCCGCCATTGGAGAAGAAAGTACACCCACAATAATATAAGAAAAGGTTTGAGATAAATTATACTTTGCATTTTTAATAGAATACCCAATTCACACTTTGATCTTTAAACTTTGTTTATTTATTTATTTTAATTTGGTCCATCAACTATTGAATATTTGTCAATATAATTCAGCTAGTAACCACCGTCTAATATTATAACAAAAATGTCACGTGACATTGATATTTTTTCACTTTTGCCTTTAAACTATACACTTTCCTGCATTGACCATTGGCCACGTTTGGTAAGTTGAAAAAAAATTAAAAAATTAAAAAGTTATTTAAGAAATTAAAAAGTTATTATTATTTATCAAAAATCAAAAATTACGACTGCATAATTTTCAATCATAATTTTTCCTTACACATTAATTTATATAATTTTTTAATATATATTTTTTTATAAAAAATTAAAAAATTAACCCAAACATCTATATTTTTTTCTCAATTTTTTAATTCAAAAAAATAAAAAATACACTTATTTAGAACACCCCTAAAAACTCCTACCTGTGCAAACTAGTAGGTAAAAAATAAGGATAACGTTTGATACAGTTTTTTAAGGGTCATGCTACATCCCCCTAAAAAACATCCCCCTAATCCCCCTAATTTCCATATTAAGTAAAAAAAAAAAAAGAAAAAGAAAAAGTTGCCCAAAATAAAAATTAGGGGGATTAGAGGTGAGGTTTTTAGGGCTACAAATCATTTCCCGTTTTTTAAACATCCAGCATTGTTGTTTCTACGCTGACTTATGTGCCACATTGCATTTTTTTGTTGGGAGTACCCCGATTATCTTCTCCATAACCGTCAAAATTTCACTTTGAGGGTCCCGTGGGACCTACAATGGTGATGTAAATCAGTCATCTCATGTATCTTAGATTTCGTTTAGTAAGTATTTTTTTTTAGTTAAAAAGTCAAAAAATCGTTAAAAGAAATTAAAAAGTTAATAATTCATATTAAAAAGTTAAAGATTCTCTTTTTTTTTTATTTTTTGCACATTTTTTTATAAAAAGTCAAAAAATCATTCTAAACATACTAATTTTTTTTAGCTCATATTTTAGCCAAATAATTACTAAATTAACATGTTCCTAAACGAGGCCTTAATATATATATATATATGTAAAAAATTAATTTGATTAAAAATAGATGGGGACATTAAGGCCTCGTTTGGGAACAGACTAATTTAGTAACTTTTTGGCTATTTGGCTAAAAAGATAGGTAAAAAAAACTTGTATATTTAGGATGACTTTTTGACTAATTACGAAAAGATGTGTAAAAAGTAGAGAGAAAAGAGAATCTTTGACTTTTTTGTATGAGTTGTTGGCTTTTTGGCTAATTTAGTAACTTTTTGACTAATTGACTAAAAAAGTAAGTCCCCAAACGGGGCCTAATTGTGTTTTGTTCTACGCTCCATTTATTTGAAAAGAAACATATGATTGAAAATAAAAATGGTTAAAAAGTGAAGTGAAAGAAAAGAAAAAAATGAAAATTTATTTTCTTACATGTATTTAAATAGATGAAAAATTGTGCAAGAAAATGATAGGAAAAAAATATAATCATTTCATAACAAAGAGTTATGGGGAGAAATATGGACAAAAAGAAAAACAAAATAAACCTAGCCAAGATTTATGAGAAAAAATAAATTTTTCTATTTATTGTGTTAGAAATTGTTAGCCTAATTAACAAACTGATTTGAGTTGTTTAATGAACTTTAATTTTCATTATTTTCTAGGACTCTCTATCTAAACATATTTTTTATTTTACCTATATTATCTAGGGGTATTTTTTTAAGGTCCCTGATATTATGATTTTATTGTATAAAGGACATCAAATATTTTCATGATGTCTAAGATCCCTCAATATCAATCCAGAGAAAATTGGTCCAGAGAAAATTCAAGTCAGAGAAAATTGGTCCAGAGAAATTTTGGACTTCCCTAAACTTCTCACTGTAAATTTCTCTGCCCTTTTTTTTTTTAACATAAGAATTCCCCTACCTCAACTCACTTCCTTGCTATACACTGTACCTGAGATGGTCTACAAGACAGCTAGAGCCATGGGGCTATATTCTAACGTCAATGTACTTTACAATTTGAGCTGTTTTTTCCCCCATTGATTCTGGTTTCTTCTACCTTGTTCAGCTACATTTTTGCGAGGTGAATCGGTGGATGAAAAATGTAAACCAGAGGGTGTTTGACATATTCATCAACAATGAAACAGCAGAAGTTAAAGCTGATGTTATTGCTTGGAGCAACGGATACGCAGTTCCAGTGTACTGAGACTATGTTGTTTTGGTTCCAAAAGTAAACAATGGGGAGAATGAAGACCTGTGGCTAAAGCTACACCCAAACACGAAAACAAAATCTCAGTACTATAACGTCATTTTAAATAGAGCTGAGATCTTCAAATTAAGCAACTATGATGGAAACCTTGCTGGGCCTAATCCTCCAAAAAAGATTGTGGCTAGTTTGCCACCAAAGAAACATAACCCAAAATCATCAAAGAAGATTACATTGATTATGGTTGGATGTATTCTTGGCGGGCTGCTAGTTTTTCTTATTTTCTCTTTCCTCCTTTATATGAACAGACCAGTTGGTGGATGATCCGAGCAGCTAACATGCCGACAAAGCAATATCACCCTTCTCTCCAGAGAAATTCAAAATTTCTCTGGCTGCATGGTTAGAAAAGAAGGTAAACTTAATCAATATTAAAGTTGCATCACAAGTTAGAACTGAAATTTCTCTGCTTTGAACTGAAATTTCTCTGGGTTGGTCCAGAGAAATTCTCTGGTTTGAACTGAAATTTCTCTAGGTTGGTCCAGAGAAATTCTCTGATTTTAGCTCAGCTTTAACATGATCTGGATCAGCAGTTGGTTGGTCAATTTTGTTTATGACTGGGATTATTGTCAAGTTAGATTCAAAAGCAAGATAAAAGCTATCAACAGTTCACTCTATTGAGTGAATAAACAACAATAGGAACATATATATATATATATATATATATAAATTAAAAGCTAGCCCTAAGCTCCAATGCAAAACCACACCAAGAGGACTTCAAGGTAGCAACGTAGATGTAACAAACTATCTTGAATCACTACTTAAACATAAAACTCATTGGAACATGATAACTTGATTTTTTGTGTTCCATAAGAGCATGCATCAAATGAAAAACTTGCATGGCTGCCCAATCAGGATAAACATGAATATTGGTCTGATCCTTTGAATTTTCTCTGGGTTGAATCCAGAGAAAATTCAAATTTCTCTGGGTTGAATCCAGAGAAATTTGAGAAATTCTTGGGGCATGAGCTCCAAGACAGACCACAACCTTGCAGCTTCGGTAGAGTTGGATCCCAATTTGGATGTTGAAGCTTCGTTGCAGTCTGCCAAGTACTTTCCAGAAACGTTTTCAAGCCTCGGATGCGTAGCAACGTAGCAAGTCGTCGTAGCGGTCTGAACAAAAATTCAAATTCATTAACACACTTGCACCTACTATAAATACTTACAATAAGATATATAATTAAGTGTATATCGTCAAAAATTTCAGCGAGTGATTAATAAACACTACCTGAGGAATTGTCTTCAAGAACTTGGAAGCCAAGAAGAACACCAGATCTGCATATTTTATCGCTTCAATTTTACAACCTTAAGACTCAACTAGATGTATATATATATATGCATGAATCTCAGGTTTAGAGAATAGTAGCGACCTGTTATGAGGCCGGGTCGCGGATCCGGGCGGTGCGGAGGTCTGTGACGGTGGCAGAGTGGAGGGAGGAGTCGGAGGAGAAGGTGTTGAGGAAAATGTCGTAAAGGAGGGTGGAGGAGGTCGTAAAGGAGGGTGGAGGAGCAAAGCTTGTTGCCTTGGATCTGCAAGACAGTGGGTGAGAGGAGAAGAGAGAGAAAGAGAGAGAGAGTAGAGTAGAGACAAAGAGTCAAATTTCTCTGATATATGTTTAGGGACCTTAGACATCAAAAAATAATTTTGTGGATTTCTTTCATTACGAAAAGTGGGAGAGGGACCCTAGACCAATTTTCCCTATTATCTATCTAAAAAAACTGAGCTTTATGGAATTAATGGTAAATATAATTTTTTAAACTAAAACTGTTCATTTTATAAAATAAAATACGGTAAGTTAATTTATATATTGATAT